CGCTGGTAGTGTCTAGTTCTCGGTGCAGATGATTGTTAATGTGAGTATATGAATGAGTCTATTAAAGATCCATGCAAACAACCTATTAAGATTCGTTCATAAATACTGATACGAATCCCAAGGCATGGCCTAAAACTATATCCAGTCTTCCATTATTGTCGAAATCATACAGAACTACCGATATCGGATAGTCATGTGTAAAAATACGTGATGATATGAAGAAAGCGCCGGTTCCATCACCGAGAAGTACAAGAAAATAATTCTCGAAGTAATTGGGAGCAACGATGTCTAAATAAGTATCACCATTCAAGTCACCAATTGCGAGACTCACCGAACAGATGCCGACCATGTAGTACTCTGATGCCCGAAAAGTGCCGTTACCTTTGCCGAGTAAAACACTGATCGTAAGATTGCCACAATTTGAGGCTACTATATCTGCTTTATCGTCACCGTTCAGATCGCCCAAAGCCAATCCGAACGGATTACTTTGAACGTGATTAGTAGCTGACATACGGAAATTACCATTACCAACCCCTAGATATATATCAACATTACCAGTACCATAGCCGGTAGTAGCGAAGTCTAATCGATTATCGTGGTTGAAATCAGCTACAGCAGCTAGTTCAGGATAAGGGGCGGTGGCAAAATACTGTTGAGACGCAAAACTACCAGTGCCATCACCGAGAAGAACGCTAATAGTACTAATACCAAAGTTGACTACCAACAAATCAAAATATCGGTCACCATTAAAATCTCCGACACAAACCGAAGATGGAAAATAACCAACTGCAAAATTTTTTTGTGGAAGGAAAGTACCATCACCAAGACCAAGTGAAATACCAACACTGCCGTTGCCTTGGTGAACAACAGCTATATCATCATGGCTGTCTCCATTGAAGTCATTCACAACGCCTACCCTTGGATTATTCTGAGTCATAAACGTTTTTGGTGATTCGAAGCTTCCATTTGCATAGCAAAGAAAAACGTAGAAACAATTTTCAAAGTAACTGAAAACCGTCAGATCCATGCAGTTGTCATGATTGAAATCGCCGATGACAACTCCATATGTGACATTTGGTATTTTATATGAATACTGTTGATTGAATGCCAGATTGAGGGAGATGCTATCTAGACATTAAAGATTTTTTTATGGCTAACTAAATACGCATCAGAGATGCAACTCGATTATTGTAGATCTAGATAAACTGCTGAAAAGGCTCTTATTTCATTTTCAATATTTGTTGAGAGTATCGGAATAATGTTACGAGCGTCTTCTTAAAACGAATTAAATGCACTGAAATTCTTTTCTCACCGATGTAATTGTAAATTTTTAAACTAATATTCCTTTCATAAGTAGCTGTATTGTGCATTTATTGGTAACAAAGTTTCATGTATTATGAGTCTTTTCGTTTTGGAATGAGATTTGTACAGTCTGTGACTCTTTTATGATTAACACCGTATCGAAGTGAGATTGAAATGTGTATTTCAAAATGATTCATTGAATCAAACCGGTGCATTTTATATACTGCCTATATTTATCGTTTCCATTGAGTCAATCTTAGAATCAAAAGCAGGATTTTCGGGCGCCTTGAGAATTGATAACATCAATGCTTCACAGTTAAACAGTGAACCTGCTTCTTTCTTACATGTGGAATGTTTTCTTCAACCAATACAGATAGTCAGGTAGGAATGCTGCTGCTGTTTCTGATCGACGTTGCACAAGAAAAAGTGCTACTACTGATTATATTCTATGAGTTACTTCAAATGTATCGAAAGAGTCATACTATGCAGCTCTTAAGAATTATAGTCTGATGTCTTCTCTAAGTTCATTGTTTCTACTGACTTTTTGTAGCCGTCGTGGTCGTTGTAATGCTTGTCGTCGTCATGGTCGATGTAATGCTTGCCGTCATCGTTATTGTGACTGATGTCGTCCCTGTTGTTGCTCCTAGAATATAAGACATACTGATGGTTTTATATTATAATTTGGTGTGCATCATTTCGAGCTGTTCATGATTTTAGTCGTGTATGCAAAGTAACATTCTGTGATTATCACCTCTTGCTAGAATGCTTATGCAAGTGGTGCTCTTGTTTACATTCACAAAAAAAAATACAAAAATTTATATAACATCCGTCATGTTCATCACCAGACAATGATTTCCAATACCAATGTCCGATTTGCAAGGACTTGATAATCGCAACATTTTGGAGCCTATTGCGAAAAGCTGAGAAAAGATTGATGGCATTTATGCAAGTTCGGAGTTTTTGTTCTCGGGATTCTGACTCTAATTGACAACGACATATATTCAGGTAAATACGATATTGTAGAATCACGACTGGCAACGGCAAATGAATTCATTCGTTAACTGAAGAAAAACTCGTATACTATTTGCTATTTCACCAAAAATCCTCTCCTTTGTTGTTTTAGTCGTGAAATTATTAGGTCGACAAAAAAAAACAGACACGAGAGAAGTTCCGCCATCTTATACAACCTGTCGACTTTATTTCATTTTGACAATTAGTTGGATATATGAGTGCATACATACCGTTGAAGTCTGATTTCCGGTTTCGATGCAAGAAAACATATGAAAGGATCCCTGCAATTATTAGGATTGAACCAGTGATTACACCAATGATAATCAGTACCTTTCTTTTGGTTATTTCAGTTCTGTAAAAAATAATAGGACATCAAGTTGAGATATGAAACAAGATAAAGACATACTTCACAGAAACTATCGTTGTTTCCATAGATCACTGATTGTTGATGATATTTTACACGATGATATAGAATTTGTGAACCTATGCATAACATCATTTATGACTCAGTATATTTGACAAAACGGCAAATGTAACTATTAAAAAAACACCTTCAAATAAGTTTTGCGAGATGGAACGCTCATTGCCTGTCAGTCAGCATTGTTCATTCCCTATGCGAACTATTTGTCAAACTCAGTGAATCATTTGCAGTTGCACTCAATCGCAATAATTGAACAATGGAAGTAAAGAGAATTCCATACGTCTGCACTTATTGATATTTGAAAGGTTCCTATACTTTATATGCTAGTATGTTCGAGATGTCAATAAGTAAAGAATCTCTTGTCTATTCGACTTGTTGCAGTTTGATTAAAAACTCGGAAAACAATGTTCAGAAAATGTATTATAAACTGAAACGGAGCTCCATTTTAATTTATTGTGAATACCTGCTTTTAATGCGGTGAAATGAAATGATAGAGGAAGTTGTCGGTATAAAGAAACGCACAAGAGAATACTTTGAAATAGGCCAAAGAAAATAACCATCGACAAATAGTTTCTTATTTTTTTAAGGATATATGTTTGTGTGAGAAAAATAAAAGAGAGTGGCATGCATATTTAGTGGAAACAAGGCTTCGTTCTTAATTTAGAGAACGCTCTCAAGCTGTTCAATGCTATTTGAAACTAACAGATTGTCCTGATCAATATTCATAATTGAGAAAAAGAATATTCATACTAGAGAACTACTTTGGCCAGTTATTATGATTGCATATACTCGAGAATCAGACAGCTGAATGAGTTTTGAAAGAAAGTATCATTTATTTAACATACAATATCTAAATGTAAGGGGTGGGCCATAAAGAATTGCCCTTTTAGTATTTTTAAGATTTCCCTCTATTGTCCCTGTCATTAAAAAACCTTTTTTTTTATCAAAAGATAGCGCTTGAAATTCTCTACAAAACCATATATGACTAGATCATAAAACTGTTTCAGATATATCCGAAAAAAATTGAAAAATAAAGACGCACAAAAAGCTGTAAAATGTAACGGGTTGGATATAATAACTGGCTGTACTTTCCATCCCATTTTTTCATCACTTACTTCGCCCTATTTAAGAACAAAATATACCAAAAGATGCAGCGTGAGAAGCTCTACAATTTATATACGAACACTTATTTTATAACTGCACTGCTTTGTTTTTAAGATGGACAAAACTTTAGCGATAAAATTTCGACCGCGCGAAAAATGATATATTTTTTTTGGTAAAAATGAATTTGTTTTTTACCTCCCTTTTTTTATAATTTGTTCTTCGTAAATTATAGAGCATTTCACGCTTCATCTTCTGGTGTCTTTTTTTTAAACAATATATAACATACCAGGTAACAAGAAGATGAAATGAGAAAAAACGAATTCATCCTGTATCAGAAAAAATTATTTTCGCAAGGTTGCAATTTTATCAGTCAAAATTTTATCCATTTTAAAAACAAAAAGCGCAACTATAAAACAAGCGGTCTTGTGTAAATTGTAGAGCTTTTCGCGCTGCATCTTTTGGTCGTGTACAGGATTTACGTCCGCGGGATTTACTGCCGTAAACAATTTTCATAAGGCGCGCTTTGCTTTCATGCGAATTCTAAAAAAAATTAATTAACATATTTATTTGTTCACAACTATTTTTCCTAACTATTTTTCCTTTTATGGTCTTTTTCACCCCGCCCCCATCCATTATTTGTTAGGTTTACTCTTAGTAGATTTAATTCTTTACTTATTATTTGCTTGATTGAACGGATTCGATAAATACGTATTACTAATGTTTTAATGAGTCCCAATTTATAACGACGATTTTGACTACTATCCCATAACATATATAAACATGTATGTGTTGGTTTACGATACAGTGATGCAATAAGTTTATCTTCTTCTTAAGTTACTAAAACGTCAAGCAATGCGATAGAGTTATTTGACTCAAATTCAACGGTGAAATGTAAGCTATGATGCCATTTATTTATGCGTGAATGAAAATCAAGAATTTTCTCTTTTGGTATAGTGAATATGCAGAAAACATCGTCAAAGTATCTCAACCAAATCATTGGTTTGTTATTCCTAAATCTATTTAATTTCTCTTCGATCTTTTGCATCCACAAATCAGCGATTATTGGTGCTAGTTGATTACCCATAGCGACTCCATCTATTTGTATGTATATTTTATCTTGAAATCGAAAAGGTGCGCCGCTTATTGATAAATTTAGAAGTATTCACATTTGTTCTTTATCGAAAGGAACATCTATTAATTTAGTTGGTTTATAGATATAATCTAATGTTGTTTCTATTGCTTCTTCAATCGGTACATTTGTATATAGACTCTCTACGTCGAAACTACACATAATATATGTTTTCTGTTTCTCTAATACAATTTCTTTTAATCTTTTTACAACTTCGAAGGAATCTTTTATGTATGATTTTGCTTGTGGCCGTGCATCTCTAATCGCTTTAGCTAAATATTTTGACAGTTGATATTGATAACTTCCTATAGTTGATATTATAGGGCGTGTAGGATATCCAGTTTTATGTGCTTTAGGAAGACCATAAAAGACTGAGAGTGAAGAACATGTCGATTGTAGTTTATAACGCAGTTTATTATCTATTACTCCTTTTTTAAATAATGAGAAAATATATTTATTCAATTCCTCCTCTCGTTCTCGGTGAAATTTATCATTACTTAGTGGTTCAAATTGTTCTCCTTTCAATATATCTTCAGCTTTTTTCATATATGCTTCTTTATCTAATATTACAATACAACTACCTTTATCAGCTTTACATATGACTATATTGGTATTAGATTTTAGTGATTTTAAAGCTGCTAATTCTTCATCTGATAGATTACTTAATTTCTTATGTTTAGATGCGCGTATTAATTGTTGTGAAGCATTATGTATTTTACGATAAATCAAACGAAAAACTGAATCACGACAATGAGACTGTAATTTCATTGCATTTAATTCAAGATCTGTTTCAAAATCTAAGAAATTCGTTATTTTATTTTCTATACAAAAATCCCAACCACGACATAATAATCTTTCTTCGACCTGTGAAAGAGTATATGAAGACATATTATAAATTAATTTTAATTTCATTTCTTCGTAATTTTGTCCAATAGGGCCTCGATTTAATTTTTTCAGTTTTACTTAATGAGTTCGCATTACTTTAGTATGTAGTCGACATGCTGAATCATGACAAAACTTCTTTACATTAATGTAATCTATTGAAGAAAGATGTTTTTCTAATTGTCTCGCTTGTTTCTGTCTACATTCGAATTCACGTATAAGACAATTACGTTGAAAAGATTTATGTTGTTCTGATCTTTTATACCTGGCTTCCATAAACGAATATTAATAAAATTAGGCATTAAATTATAAATTAAACAACATCTAAGAAATTCAACATCACATTTCGCTTTCTGTAATTTCTCGGTTAATCTTTCACAACATCTTATTACTTACCAGAATCGATTCGCCATCTTTCAAGCGAAGATTTGAAAAAAATCCAGAAGATAGAGCAGTAGGAAATAGATAAGAAAAGAAAGAGATAACTGCTGTAAATAACGTTTTATTAATATTTATTTCAAAAAGAAATAAAAAGAGGAAAAATTCAAGCTTTCGTGTCTGGAACTCATCATCAGCAATGACAATATAAAATTATTCATTGTATTTATATAACAAATGAGAAGAAAGACACAAGAACAACATCAAAGTAGTATTTCAATAAATAAGAAAAAGAACAGTACATACAATCAAATGGTCGATTTCATTAATGACAATCAAAGACAGACCGACACGCTGTTCACCACGAAATATTTCTTTTTTTATTTCTCATTCAAAAAAAATATTATGAGATGATTAAGAATTTAATCAAAAATTCGTTTTATCGTTCACACTAACATTGTTGTTCAGCAACCGATTCCTTGCATTAGCACTGTTATCTTGATGAAAGTTATAGAAAAACTTCAAAACTGAAGAATGAAACATACGAACAGTTTATTTTAATTCATTAAACAGAAAGAAAAAGCATATGATTTTCAATCGAACTCAACTTTTATTATCAAAAACAAATATTTATTTTCATTCCAATCGATATTAGAAAAATTAAATAGTTATATCAATTTCAATCGATAGTATAAAGAACAACTATTCATATGAACTCGCATCAATATTATACCAATCAAACATTTATATTTATTCTAATCGACAATATTAAAATGAAAGACTTATACTAATTTCAATCGATATCATAAAAATCGGATATTTATATTTTTATTTTCAATTGATACTATACAAATGAGCTCTTTATATGTATTTCAATCGATTCCATAAAAATTAACTATTTATATAAATTCCAATACATATTATCAAAATCAACTATTCATATTTATGCCATTTGATATCGTAAAAATCAACTATCTATATTAATTTCTATTGAAATTGTAAAAAATAATATTTTTATTTAACACAATTTGGTATTATAAATCTTGGAATGTTAACTTGTGATGATGATGTCGATTATCGATAAGGATGATTTTTCTTCCATGTAAAAGTTGTGCATTGAAGTCATTTTGATCCAATCCATATTTGAAAAATATATCAACATGACAATGGCCATCATATAACGATAAAGTAATTGGCAAATGATATTTGTTTTTACATGAACACATATTATAAAGACTGTTTTCACAAATAGTATTCATTTTCTAAAAGTAAGTTTAAACTATGGCAGCAATTGAATAAATCGAAAAGAACAAAAATCTCGACTAATTTATACGTTCATTAATACAAACAAAAAAATGAATGACGATTTATTTGAATATCGTTCATTAACAATGACAGCAAACAATTAGAACAAATTATAAATGATATACATTCACCATCAATAGATACATATTTATTTTTGTCATTAACACAATTATTATGGCAATCACCAAATCGTTATTCATCAACAATAATTAATTCATTAAAACCATATCATTATTCCACTCCATTATCATTACAAAAGCATTATATAACAAGAAACAAAGGGAAAAAAAAGTTAGATAAAAATCTCAAGTCAATTTATTAAAATATTTTATTAATGACATTGATGAAAAAAATTATTTCAACAGGAAAAAGGACAATGTAGAAAATAATTACATAATTATTTACAAAAAAAAATATTCACTCAAACATTAATGAACAATAGTGATTATTTACATAAAACATTAAGAGGGTTCTTAAGATCATCCCATGATCCACTCGAATTCTGCCCAATCGATGAATTAGATGATCCAAATATAATTAAAAAAAGATTCTTAAAGAATGTAGTCTTCGTTCATATATTCTAACAGATAAATGTAAACAAATCAATGAATCAATTCAATTAAGTCCCCCTCAAAAATCTATTTCAGCCCAGGAACGTCCGAATTAGATGAAACTTTCAGGGTATGTTGGGGTTGGAAACAGAAGACTACCATAAAATTTTCAGCCCAAAATTTTCAGGTTTCAGGGAAATATGGACTAAAAAAGGGTCGAAAAGGACTCATTTGGCATCCCAAAATTTTCGGTCCTGATTCGGTCAACATATTAATATTCTTTTTTTGTCGGAAAGAGCATCTCAAGGCGCAGGGCATGACGAGGCCGCTTTTTTTAAACAGTCCTTTTTTTAAGTGCAAAAATGGATCACAAGTTCAATGACTCAAAAAAGTATCAAAAAAATGGTAGCAAAATCATATAAATGGCTGTATATTAACCAAACAAAGGCTTAATTCAAAAAAAGGGCACGGTCATGCCCTGCGCCTTTAGATGCTCTTTCAAACAAAAAAAAATTTTAACACATTGAACGAATCGGGAAAGCGAAATTTGGGATGCCTTTTTGAGAAAGTGGAAACTGAGAAAAAACGAAAAACATTTTTTGATTTTTCAAAAAACGGCGGGCTTTTCGCATAGGGGTTGACGGAAATCTTGAAAACTTTTTGGGAAAAATGAAGTAACGAGAAAGACAAATTATCGTTTATGAAAGAGCAGATGACGGGCTCTCTTCCCATGCATTTATCTCAACTTTGACCATTCTGACGAGACAGGGGGGGGGGCGGGCATAAAGACTTAAATGTAAAGCATAATGGTCAAAATAGATAGACAAAATGAATAACGTAAATGGTTGAAATATTTATACCAACATTTATTATTAAATCGGACACGGTATGATAATTCATTATTAGATGAAGAATTAGGTGATGTTATATATGATTTTACACATGCTGCTTGTTATCTTGTAACAATAATTGGACAACAGCAATAACAACAATTAAATATTCAACAACAATCGCAAAATTGAACTAATATTAATTTTACAAATGATTAACATAAAATAATCTCTTTAGGACACATTATCAATATGTCGTTTGTTTCTGAATCGTAAAAATGAACTTTGTTCATATCAACAAATGTTTGATCAACTATCATGTAATAACAACAATAAAGAAAAATACTTAGGGTGTGGGGTGTGGGTGGGTGTGGGGTGTGGGTGGGTGTGGGGTGGATGTGGGTGTTGTGCTCATCCACAACCACACCCACCCACATCTACACCCACCCACACCCACACCCACACCCCACACCCACATCCACACCTACACTCACACCCCACATCCACACCACACACCCACACTCACACCCACCCACACCCGTACCCACATACCCCACACCCCACACCCACCCCCCACACCCATCCACACCCAGTTTACGACATGAAAGTTAAAAATCAAAGATACGTAGATTTAACATATGAGTTGAAATTAATTGTTCTCATCGATCAGTATTTAAATATTGTGTACTATTATCATAAAATCCAATATACTGTATTGCAATAGTTAAAACTTGAATTTGACGAAAATACTTTGTTACTAAGATTTAAAAATCTTCAAAATTGACATTATGTAATTTAAGTGAAACATTTGTTAAATAATTTAAGCTTATCGAATCTCTTTCGGTTCGATTGAGTTTAGATTCCTTTAGATGACCAATCGATAAACGACGTAATTGTGGAACATAAGATAATAAAATAGGAAGTTCATCAATCGAAATGTCATGATTAATGATAAGATGTTCGATAGTACTAAATTCATTTGTTGCAATAGGTAATAATTTTGGACTTTGTAATAATTCAATTAATATCTGACAGTATTTCAATATAGCTAAACGAAAGATTTTATAATAAATATTCTTGTGATTTTTAATAGTATTAATCGATATGATAGTCAATGAAGATAAAACAGGTAAAGAAGACAAATGATTTACAATTTGTTCAATATAATTCGATTCAATATTATTTAAAATAAGTGTTTTAAGTTGAGTTAACTTTTTCATTATTGGCAGTAGCAATAAACATAGATCAATAAATGGATTCGATAATCGAAATAATTCAATTTGATAAGTATAAAGTTTAATAATATGTGTTAAATAATGCTGTAATTTAGATTTTGATATGGATGAAATATGAATTTTAATTGGAAGATTTGAATTAAGAAAAAGATCTTGAAATCGTTGATTAAGATCATAAAAAACTTGAAATGCATGATGATAATTGAGAAATTCAAATATTTCATAAAGAAGTTCATTTGAAAGATTTTCAAGATTAGTAATATTTTCTTTTATTAAACTGAAAAATAAGAGAGAGAGATTTGATAAAACAAAGAAATAGTTTTGTAATAGACAAACCAGTTTGTTTCGTTTGCTATTGCTAAAAAATAAAAGATGTGTTCATTAAAAAAAAAACGAAATATCATTTTTTTTACCGTCAATCTATTCTCTTTTCCGTAGAGGAAGTACTGAGTACAGGGTACCCATGTACTGAGAAAGCCTTAGCAGGGTATTCAATATGGGTACTTCGAAAATTCTCAGTAATTATACTGATATAGGT